TTAAAACAGAGCAATAGAATAAAAAGCCTGGGGACGAGATGGGGTGTGTGGAGTCAATACAACTTAGGAAACATAATTTTAATGGATTATGGTACAATTATGTTCCCTGAGGGTACCTCCCCAGTGACAAGCGGGGCACTGGCCCAGTGATAGTTTACTACCTTTTTTTTCTGAGAGTGTTTAGTGAAAAGCCATAAAAGACTGCATTAACATACTGAGTAAGATCACTGAGATGATCACCAATGAGTGAATAAAATGAAGCCAGGCCATAAAGAACAGAGCTATGCCAGCCTGGGAACCCTACAGATCGATAAGTGAAGAGCTAACCATTTTATTTGAATGGCACTGTCTGAAAAGATACACTACTATATAGATATTGCTTTGCTATACCTAAGACATCTCTCATCATGCTTTACCTATAGCACATCCTTGCCAGTCAATATTATTCCTTTGGGTATGTAACCCTATACAGAAGAGGGGGGTAACCTTATCCAGGACTTCTGGAGAATACAGAAAGTATAATGTGGTTTCCGTCGAAGTTTTAACAAAAGCCCCTTAAATCGATAAACACTTAAGAGCGGATGTAGCTTAGTTATCATTCCCTGAATAACAGGAATGTTTTTTTCTCATGGTCCAATCTATGATTAAAGCAATAGCTCATACTCACAGTGGTTCTCAGGGGTGCACTCATAAGGGTCCACCATATCCAAAATACTACTCAGTGATCAGCCTTCTCATCATGAACCGAAGGCTTCAAAAAGTTGAGATATCTTGGATATAGTGGACACTGTATGGTTAAGATGACAGATGCCAGCACCACGGCAACTGCATAGAGCTGAAGTTCTCAACACAGTTCTCCCATCCAGATGCCAGACTAGGGTCCATATTCACAAAGTGTCTCAGATTAGGAGGGCTTATCTATGATCCGTTTCAGTCAGTAAGATCATCGTAAATAAGACATGAATTTGGTCCTAAAGCAGAGCAGTTCTACTCTAAGATGCTTTGTGGATATGGGCCCTGGTAATTAAAGAGGTGTAGTTAAATTGATGGAGCTAACCTAAAGTTACTCTCACATGTCTAATACATTAGTGAAGGTCAATAGTGTATCGTAACACCAACATCTCCTTTGTTCTCTACTATGAGAACCATAAATTTTAAATTTACACAAACCTATGATGGCTTATGCTCACGTAAAACACGTCCAACCTGAATTTTTCTACATCCACCAGTCATTTACGAGCAAGACTGCCTTAGTTTTTTTCATCCTCTGATCAGAGTGTGGTCCAGTGATGCATAATACCCACTGGTTACCAAACCCCAGGGCCCAGAGTCCTTTTTTCAGTATAATTCTGACATGATGGGGGGGCATTTTTCTCAAAAAAGCTGCTGACAACAGCGCTGTTCGCCCGCCTGAAATGCTCAGTCTCAGAGCTACGTTCTCAAACTAATTTATGGAAGCAAAACCTCTAGGAGCTTTAGAACGACAGCAGGGTAGAATAGGGCTCTAATTTTTTCCACTTATAGTGGAATGCGGCCTTCCCAGTGCCCAGTCTCTCTACACTGCATATTTGCTGTTTGTTTTGACCACTCGCTCTGTAGGGAGAGAAAGCAAAAGAGGAAAAAGGTTTAGAAAAAGCAATGGAAACACTCAGCGACTGCCAAGACTGCATCCATTTTCTTCTAAAACTATTCGGAGTGATGCAATGGGACTGTTATTGGGTTTCACTGACAGGAAAACCACAGGTACTTGCGCACACACACAAACGCAATCCAGGGTTGTGGGCGAGACGCACCGTGACAGACATTCAAAGCCTCCAAAGGGCTTTCTTTTCAGACTGTTTCAATGCCACTGTCTGAAGTCATACTCAAATTATGGAGAGGCAAGACGCAAAATATGTGCAGCACCTTATGAATTTAACAGCAAAAACCTGAATACAACAAATCCCCTATTCACCGTCCACTGTCTAGCAGAGCTAATAAAAGAGTGGTTTTACAGCAGGGGAGAAGATCTCTGATGGCCCATCAGGCCATGCCTCTGACAGTCTGGCTGTGCCCGCAAAGAGGAGCCGACCAGAGGAAGTCATTAAGAGGTCACCAAGTCTTCCTGGAGCGCTTATGATGTCATCTCGCAGACGAAAGCTTTGCCTCGGAATTCATCTCGTGCCATTTTCAGTCTGACCGAGAGTGTGTCAAGAATGTCTGGACCTCTCGTCTTCGTCTAACCACATTTCAGCCGTGCGCAGTGGGCAACGTTGACCGTCAGTTTATGATGCCATATCCTGCCAATCAGATGCTTTGAAACACTCAGATTTCCTCGTATTATGTATATGAACAAAGTCCCAGTGCATTAATTAACAATAATTTTATTCGAAACAGTTTCAGCTCTGGTCATTATGACAAGCGTGTTGGGGTATAGCAAACATGGACAGCTGCAATCAGTTGAGTGCTTATCTTGGCTACTGACGGTGTTAATTGATAAATGTGGTGAAGTGGGCCCAGTCAAGGTTTTTTTTTCCCCTTCTTCCTTTTTAGAGAATTTCAAGAGTGGAAACAGATTAAATGGTGGAGAGACAGTGCAGTATATTTTATGAGGCATGGCGATTTCACCGCTCACATGCATGTACGCAATATCAAAGCACTCCCATCTTATTAAGACGACTCCTTAAATGTAGCGTTTAAATGTTTTGGTCCACATCTCCAGATTTAATCTTAGGGGGAAACTGCAGTGATCTGATGGTCTTTCATTGCCAATGTTCCACTCGGAGAACCATCATCACGGGCAGTTTTCCTCCCAACTTTAAGAAACACGACTTCTTGTTGAGTAACACCATAATGCAGAAGCCATTTTGTCTAGTTAGGCGTTTTATTTTTATTGAAAGAACTGGCGTCTGTTTCTTTCCATCTGAACAAGAGTTACGTCCTCTTGAATTATGGCCACCGAGTAAATGTTTTCAGGGAGTCAAGGGAAAATTATTGGAAGGGTGATAATGACAATGTTTTACAAGTTATTTGTAGAAATGCGACTCCTCCTTCCCTCCCACGTCCCAAAAGAATGAAATGTGGCCAGTGTAGTGATCTCCAGAAAGATAAATAAAAATTCAACACCTGGCAACCCTCAGAGGATAGAAATCAAGCATTGTTTTCTACACAAACATTGGTCCAAGCTCTCAGAACAACCAGCCCTTCAACAGAAGCTGGAAAGTAGTTCAATGGCTGCAGTGGTAGCTACCAAACAGAAAAATTACATTAATAAATTCACTGTTAAAAATCTTAAAGCACTATGTAAGTTTTTGGGATCTAAAGACTGCGGGTGCGTTAAGAATTCAAAGAGAACTCAGTCAAAACTTGGTGAAGAGCATGTTTTCCGAGGATGCTTCTTTTTTTTGAGCCTGTGCATGTGATGTTCAGATGTATGACGTGGTCCAAAAACTCCCACAAAATCCTTCCTGACACCTCTAACTTTATTACTATTTCAGGCTTTACAGCGTGACTTGCAGCAGCAGGCACACACCATATTTTACAGTGTCTTTTTCCCCTGACTCAGTAATGCTACTTCTTTCAGTTTTAACAAAAATAATCTTACATAGTGCAGCTTTAAATTTATTGAGCTATATAACTTTTTTGTTTTTTGGGGGGGAATTTGGGTTAACAAGTTAATTTAGATCATCCTAAACAGTCTGCCTCAGCACTAGGAACACACACAAATACTTTGCAACCTGAATAAGGAGTTTGAAAAATATTGTGTTGTAAAGCGTTGTTAGGAAAACTTAATATCCATGTTCTGCCAGTTAATTTGGTTTGAAATAATTTGTGGCTGTTAAGTATACATCAAATAGTAAATTAATGAAATACTCTCCTTCACATTCTGTTAGGAATTCTGTTAGGAACTTATCAGAAATCCAAAAAAAACCTCAGCCAGGTTTTAACACAAGTTAAAACAACAAATCAATTTTTTTTTTTTAAACATTTTTGAACACAGAATTTTAAATTACTTTAGGGGCTTTAGAGTGTCTAACTGTCTAAGCATTCACTTCATCATGATATTATGAGCTCAAAGCCCGGTGATATCACAGCCCTCCATATCTGAGAGCTCAAGAAGAAGAATTCCCCAAATCAAATGTGAATGCACTTCAAATCGAATAAGTACAAACTTGTGGAAAAATCGATTTAAAAAAAACAAACAAACAAAAAACAAAACAAAAAAAAACACCATTAATAACCCTATAACTGTTTAACTTGAACCTAACCCTATATTGCCTACCTAACTGAAATGCAGTACAAAAAACATGAGTTAGGAGAACTTTTCGCTAAACTAAGAACTTTGAGCTGGGTGAACTCTGGTGCCCTTTTGCAGTGTACAAGTGTCACTAAGGAAGTCATCACTTGCTGGCTTAAAAAGAGTCACTTATAAAATTAATTAGGTGAGCATTTAGTCAATGAAAGGCTTTACATAAATGGGCACCAGATGAAAGTAATGATGTTATTTGAGTAAAAGAACATTTCTCCAACCAGTAAACCTTTTTCTGAGGTAAAACACAGCAGAATCTCTAAAAGCCTTCCACTGCAACAGTCTGTATACTATGCTAGATGTGTGCCTAATGCATAGCATCTTCAGAAGATCAGTAAAGGCTTTAATTTTAGCTGCATTCACAAGTACACAGGGTATGTATAGAGCAGCAGAGATGTGTTTAAAGCCTTAAAATGGGTCTGAACAAAGCTGACAGCCTGCCCTCACTTTCTCCAGGAAGGCCGGCAGGCGTGCAGACTCGAGACTGACGGCGAGAGAGGGGAGAGGCGCCCGCAGGTGGACAGCCTTGGCGAAACCTGATCTATAATACACACAGGCTTCTGATCGCTCACGTCTGGGCCTCCCCACGCAGGAAAAGAACCCCATTCCCCAGTCCCTCGCTGCATATATTTCAGGGCTTTTCAAATCACGCTCGCTGACCTGTGGCAAACAGAGGAAGAAAGGACAGCAAAAGAAACGCCGAAAAAGGCTCTTCAAGGAACACCAGCTTTAATTAAAAATAACGGTTCTCAGAAATATATGCGGTCAAGGTTTCACAACTCAACATCTTAAGAAATGACACAAGGTAGCATGCCTAGTCACGGATACTGGCAAACGGCTGGAATGCCGGATCAAGCTCAGAATGAAAACAAGCTCAGGTTTAATTGTAGGACAGAAGTGTAAAACGACTTTGCTGAAACTAACAGCCACTTTGTTCTCTACAGTTTCCTTTTGACATAGTTGAAAGTCGAATAATATGTTTTTTCACCAGCTGTCTGCTCGTCCAAGGATTAGCGGTTAGGTTCGATTTGCCATGTGGCCCAGTACGGAAAAGGGTCTTCCGGAACAATCATGGTTTCAAGAGGTGGTGGTGAAAATCAAACCTGTTTCTGCATTATGCTGTAGAGCAGGTTCTACCGTGCTCTGGCCCATGCTTGTTTTTTCTCTCTTTTGCATTTAATAGAATAATAAAAAAACAAAACAAAAGTGAGACAATGTACATTATTTCAAAAACAAGGTTATATTAGGCACTTGAGTCTTCCATTTTGTTGATATTCCTGTTACTGGAAGTGTCAAGACTTAGATGCCCTCAAAATTCTGAGGGTCAAGACAAAAAAAAAAAAATCACATAAATCAGTCAAAATTTTCGTGGTGAGTGAAGACAGTACGTCCAGATGAAGATGCTAAGCTACTGGCGAGACTGATGAGGGCTGACTAGGTAAAGAGACGGACTGTCCCATCGGCCCCTGAGGAGAAGACCCAGGGTTGACTGGGGTGGAAAGCCACATCGAGCACCCCCAGGTCATGAGTGATGGCATGACCCTTCAGAACTTTAACTGGAACGATGAGAGGATTCTGCAACAGGTCACTGCAAGGGACAAATATAAGAAAACAAACAAAAAATCAGAACTGTGGAACAGGAATCTTTAGTGCAAAATATATCAGATGCTGTTTTTTGCGCAGTGAAGAGTTAGAAGGGTTATAGTCACAATAAAACCTACACTACTGGAAATACGACTTGCAGTATATGCATCAACAGCTAGACTAGAGGGGGAAAAAAAAGTGGAAAAATAACATTACATCCTCGGGCTGAGTATAAAGAGATCTATTAAGGCCAGCTGATGAAGGGTTTTGATCCAGATTTGTGTTGCCCTCGACCATGCATGGACCATTACTACTGCTCAAAGAGCATTCCTGACCATACTGTCTGGATGAGAGTCTGCCCTGCGGATACACTGGGTCCATGCCCAAAACATGGGGTACGAAGAAGAAGAAGAGAGACAGTATAAGAAAGAAGGGGGGAGGGAAGTTGGGGAGAGGGAGGAAGAGCAAGAAAGCGAGAGCAAATGAAATGACTGAGCACATAAGAGAAAAGAATGGTGTACTTACTTATAGACCATTCCATGACAGACAATGACACTGCCATCATCTGACCCTGAGGCAAACAGGGGGTAGTGCTTGTGGTAAGCCACGCCCCTAAGAGCCTTCTTGTGATGCCTGATTAGCCAGAGACAGAAAACAAAAGCGGTCAGGAGTGGCAGCAGCAGCAGCCATACATCAAGAAGGTCTGGCATTAGCAGCATTGTCGCATTGTCACTGGACCCCCTACAGGTTCCACAATCCTAAAAATCTGCCATGCTTTTGCCCTGACTCACCGGAGCATTTTGTAAGGCTTTGTGGACAGATCCAGATCGAACCAGGCAAGCCGACAGTCATAGCTGCCACAGATCACGTTGTCACCTGGGAAACGAGACAAATGTAACTTAAATTGTAATACACATAATTTATATGAGTATAAAAAAAAATGCAGAAAATAATGCCAGTTAACGTACAGTCAATTACCAAGTAAACACCGTGCCATACAGGGCTTATTTTGGGACAGATTGGATATGGTGCCTATTCACAAATTACTCTACATACCTTCAATTGCTCTCCCTTAATTAAATCTGCATTTTGTAATATATACTATTTTTCCTAAGAATATATATTCAGACGTAGGAATATAGTTCTTTGGCACTTGTGTTCCTGTGAGGCTTGCAGCATGTTCCTTGAGAGGGATGCTGTGACATGAGACATAAGGACATGTTAAAGCCCATCTCCAATCTATCCCAACAGACACGGAGGTGGCCTATGGGACAGAAGTTGGAACTTGGTTTTTCCATTGTCTAAAAACTGGAAAGATGACCAGACGGGAACCTTTAAGATGTTAGGCCTGACTGAGTAACTAATGTCACCGAGATGTGCACGATGGAAAGTTGTTGACTTTCTATTTAAAAGTCTCACAAATTACTGTGTTCAGTTAGGTTTCTGAATCCATCCAAGTCGGCATTATAATAGTTTTGATTTGTAATGATCTTGAATAATTGTATATCGCTGTTAGTGGAACAAAACTTTATCTCCAAAATGGTAACTTTACAGGAGAAGGAAAAAACATGCTTTACTTTTAATGTAAGTCTACGGAACCAGACTTTTTTCCAAGTAATTTTCGGCTGTTCATTTTTGTCCATTCATCATGAAATTTTGACACTATGTAAAGGGCAATAGGCATTTTCAAACTATGACAAAAAAAGAGATACAAGGTTTTGTTCTGACAGCAGTGATATATGGACTGTCTAATTTACATATGATTTGCATATAGGTATAACCGCTGTGGGTGCTCTCACCCCCACCACTCTTTCTCTCTCTGCTGATTTTCTTTAAACTTTATTTTATTTTTTATTTTTCACTATTTTTATCCATTCTTAGTCACATTTATTGTTCCTGCAATCCTGAAGAAAACATTTTCATATTAAATTTTAGAATATATTCTTTTGAAATTTAATTCGTCCTCTGTTTTAGTTTTGGGCTATATTACATCACAAATTATGAACAGGTGTTTCTCATCCATTTCAAAATTATTAGTGTAGTGTAGCCTGTGGTAAATTAACCAATGAAATACATTCATGTGATTATTTGTAGAGATGTATAAGGAAAAACCATAACGTTTTCTGTAAATAATTTGATATAAATAACATACTTTTCACTTTCAATCCCTGCTTGGGCACACACAGAGACAGAATAAACACACATGCTGTTTATGACTTGCAAATGCTAATCATGCATTAAAAACTCTTTGTCTAGTTTCATATAATATATGATGCTTAAGAGCCAGAGCCAGAGCCAGAGCCCAGTCAGATCAATCACTACTCATTCTTCCAGGACCTCACCAACTACAAATTCTGCCCTGTCCTTATGCTTTTCATAAAAATCTTTCAGACTGGGGATTTGTCACCTCTCTTCCAAATGCCACTTCTTTAGAACAGAGTAGTTATCAGAGAGATGCCAACATATGGCTAGCATAGGCTAGTCTCAGGGGGACAGATGTGATGAGAATACAAGTCTGGGGACAAATTGCTGGAGCAGCACTGTGATGAAATCTGCTGCAAAGAAGGGTATGCCCCTTCTTTGACGCCCTCAAATTCTTCAGGTGAGCTCTGTTAACATCCAGAGTACAATTAGTAACACAAAAGAAACATGCTAGCTAGCGAAACGCTATCGTTAGCTCATGTTCATTCTTTAAAATGGTTTTCAGAAACATCCTTTCATTTGGTTTTGCCAGAAGTATGTTTGATGCACAAAATCAAGCCAGTGAAACCACTTCTAATACTTTGTTTGACATGTTTTGGCTTGTTTGCCAACAGGAAATTGTAAAAGTTTAGCTTACTAAGTCTAAGAACCCGTTTACAACTTTTTGTTTGAAACACAAAAATTGATGGTCTTAGTTATGGTCCATAATGGAGAAGCAAGTTTGTTTAAAATGCAAGGAGAATTCCAGCTGCATACACACAGAGCACAGACATGGATGAGAAAACAGCTTCAGATGATTTCAGACAGACCTATTCCATCAGCGGTTTGTAGGAATAGCTGTGGCTCGTTGTCTGTTGGACATCGTACCGTCGCCCCCTACTCTGAGCTCTGCCTCCAGAAAGCATTGGATTAGTTTGAAATTTCATTCTTAGTTTGTTCCCACCCTGAAAAGTCTTCTCCAAAACAAGATGACGTGTGGCTCCACAAGACTAAGCCTAAGACAGGACAACCTAAGTCCCCCCTTAGTCCAACACAGTTCTGTGACTTCTCTGCTCAAACACACCTGATTCAACATGGCAGTGATTTATCAGGTTTAGCAGGTGTATATGTGCAGGACCTTTAACAAACTCTGTTGGACTCTGACCCTTTAGGACATGGAATTGGAAACTCCTGGTCTAGACACTCACATGCAAAACTCTGGACTGGAGCTGTCTATTTTATTGTAACCAATGGCACCCACCTCCTGGGTGAACAGCCATGCTGGAGATCCACTTGCAGTTGGCCATGAGCTTCTTTGTGAGCTCTTGTTTGATGAGGTTGTAGACTCGCACATAGCGCTGTGTAGCCACGAAGAAGTAAGGGCGAATGGGGTGGAAGGAGACACACTGCACCATGCCCTTGTTCTTGCGGAAGGGGTTCTGTGTGCGTCGCTTGCTCACCTGGTGGATCACCACCTGGAGATTGCTGTTGTCATCAGGCATGACGCAGGCCAGATAGTCACCTTTGCCATGCCAAGTTACCTGTCTCACAGCCTGATATGAGAGAGAGAGAGAGAGAGAGAGAGAGAGAGAGAGAGAGAGAGAGAGAGAGAGAGAAAGAAGGGAGAGGGGGTTGTTACAACACAGAAGTAAAAGGTCAAAGTCATTCTGCAGTAAGCTCACCAACATTAATCCGATTACAACCTCAAAGACACCCCAAGCCTAAATTTATGGCTATTATTAATACTGGCTTTGGCTCTACCAGCCTGCCAACTGGTAAGTCGGCTTTTCTTTTTCCAGTAGTTTTAATTGGACACTGGAGGCGTCTTATATTTCTTTCCATTTCAGGAAAGGGGTGACCACAACCGTGTGGGTTTAGCCAATAGTTAAAAGCCTCCTGGCTACAGCTCACGTGAGGAACGGAAGGCCCCACAGGGAAGAAAAAAAAGAAAACATCAAAATTTCATAATTTCATCTAACTCTGTGTAAACTAATTCTTGATCAGAGCACAATATATTGCATGGAACTGTAGCTCTACAGCTAGATGCAAGATTAAGTGATCTGACTCCAAACAATCAGCTGTCAGGATTAACATGGATCATTCTACCAAATTAGTTCAAACTGCAGTCCCACAGTAAAAAAAAAAACATTAATTGTGATAGTAATAAGCTAAACATACACAAACTTATTAATGGGGCACTCTCCACTGGGAGGGGGTATTGTGAAATAATACAGCTGAGATGGGTTGTGAACTGTCTATCACACGGTTGTTGAATTGTTTGCTCTTTTCAGCTGGACCTACCTTTCATTTTAAATCATACAAGTGACGTTGTGTGACTTCTGCCCATCATGCAGTGCATTCAGTGCAGTGGCTCAGGCCCACACGAGGCAGACAGCCATGGTAATGTTGCTTTTGTCACATTTGAATACAAATTTTTTGTTTTAATTCTTGTTTTTCAATCATTTATATAATCGAATTTGGAATATTCATTGACAGCCATACTACATCAGATATCAGATAGAAGAAAAGAAAATATATTGTTTTTTGATGTCTTTTGAAGTTGAAAGATTTAAATTATTTTTAAATAAAAAATACTTTATTCAATAAATGGTGTCCCACATTTTAGTCCATAGGCAGAGCCTTATTTTAGCCACTACCTTGCATTTTAAAGCAGGAAGTGAGACTGCATCACTCTTCTGTCCCTCATGGTCACATGGTCAGCAGTTAGATCCCATTGTTTTAAAGTAAATATGTACCAAAGTCTCAATATCAGTGTGTAAGGTTAAGAACTCTCACTACTGAAACATATATGATATGAAATTAAGTAAATCTTTTGTGTTTTAATGACAAATATTATGATTTTATGTGTGTGCAACTGTTCAAAGCTGTTTCTTCTCTATAATTGTGCACACCCATGTGTGATTTCCTCACACCACCCTGCATCACACTTTCTCTCAGAGAACATGAACAAAACAGTTGTCTGTCTTTTTGGGATGTTTGCTGTTGACTCTGCAGTACATCATAGCTGTGCCATCCTCCTCTCAAAAAGCAAAAACCAATACCACTATTTTAGCTGTGTGCTTCACAGGCCTATCACAGCCACAGCAAAATTATTGCCTATTGCCCCCTCATGCATACAATTCAAAAATGCTCCTCAATTTAAAACGTCACCATACTATTCAAACAGAAGTGTTTGTCTCCTCTGCTTGAGTGTGAGTGTGTTTTGTGGGTACCTTGGGGTGTTTCAGAATGAGCCTCTGGCCATGCTCATGATCACTGCCCTCAGCGACTGTCCACTGCACTGACTGTTCTTTGTTCTCTTCTGGCTCCTCATAGGAGGAGATGAGCTGATCCGTTGCACTGCAGATGAACTTATCTCCCAGCCCAGGGTTTAGCAGCACTACAGTCTCCCCACTAAAAACACACACACAGTAAGTATGATTACATTTAGCATTCAGCACTGTAAGAATCAGTGATCTAAAACATTTAATTAAAACATTACTTCTCTTTGTATTTATCATTTTAAGATGATCTGTGTCAGTTTCTTATATGACTTTAAATTGGCACTCAGAATTTCTTCTATTACTGTTAAGCTTTATCACCTGTCTGTAAAGCCCATTGTGCTGCCACTGGCATGAAAAGTGCTATATTAGAAAAAATATTATCATTAATCAAATTATATTCTGTTCCTGTTTTACAGACACATTAATCCACCCTGCATTGTAGTTTGACCATGTTTAACTCTTTAAAATCCCGGGCTTATTACATACTAAGGCTTATTATTCAGTAAGTACATGGACTACAATGCAAACTGGCCGAGTTATTCTTAGGTTATAGAAGTGTGTAATAAAACTTTGGACCACCGGCAAATCCTGGCCATTTAAGGGGTTTACTGGGTTTAAGGCACGCTGTGATGCGGACAACACTTAACCATGGTGAAATAACCAACACATAGCCTCTTGTGGCTGTTTGAATTACATTTTTGTTTATATATTCTTATTCAAGACATAAAAACACTACTAATCTCAGCTCAAGACACAGAACTTCAACACATAATGTATGTATGCAATAATGTACTCTAGTGAAGTTTTGTATGTATAGTACTGTTAAAAATAAAGCTGCACAGGATGGTAAAGTAAACACACCAGACAGACTGTGTCGCATCGCACTGTGTCCAATTCAAAACCATTGTTTTTAATGAACGTGCACACCGGTGTCTGCATCAGTGTGCGACAGCAATTCCCAGCACCCAGTTTTTCAGTGCGCCACAGCGCATCACTGAGCATTTTGCCATTACTATGTTAAAATAAAGCCATATCAAGACCATAGAAAGCCATAATAGACAACACATAGCTTAAAATTTACACAGGTGAAGAAGACCAGGCAGTCTATCAGATAAAGTAAGAATGCTAATGTTACTTTAGCTAATGCTACTAGACTCGTCTTTTTTCACCTCCTGTGAAGTAGTAGTAAACTAATGCCAAATGTGATAAATTATGTTGAAAGTTTATTTAATTAAAATGTAAATGAGTAAAGTGTAAAAATGAACTTGATGTTTATCCTGACTTTGATGCATTCGATGTATTATAGCAGTGTTTTGTACTGTCTCTGCTATGTGACGCTGTTCAGTACGTTATGATGCGTGCGGTGTAGTTAATACCTTGTATACCTAAAAAACTGAAGTGCAGATTAAGTGTACATCTGTCTTTACTTATTATACTTTATCAGCAATAGCAAACAAGAAAAAGCAATAATGTTCTGAACCGTTTTTCAAGCTCTGTATTTACAGATTTACAAAGTACATACAAGGAGTGTTTGGCTTGAACATAATACTGAGATTCTGATCCAATGGAAAGGCTGCACTGTTCTGTGCTCAACTGCCCCTAATTCACACACCTGCTTCATGCAGAAAATAGAGTACAGCTTGAATGCAGGTGAAGGATAAAGGAATGGCTCTTACTAGCTGATGGCAACCAGACACACTGCTGGATTTGGACTCCATGCCACGCTTTTCACAGCTCTGCTCACCTCCACTGTCTTCAGGCAGCGTGCCGTGCTTACCTCCCAGAATCGCACTGTGCAGTCATCTGAGCCTAGGGTCAAAAAGTCAAAGCACAAGCTCTGGTCAGGAGGCAGTAGATACTGGTTAAGCCTTGGAACTGTGGATTTGAAGAAGAAATTAGTTCCTCATCACAGTCAGGAAGGCTGTTCTCAGTCTCTCATTCTCTGCATGCCATTTTGGATAAACAGAGGAACTACTTCTGTAGCTCAGCAGGGTGATAGAGCTGTGCTGTGAGGGTGCTCCTTCTGGCTCTACAAAGAATCAACCTAAGGCCAGGTATACAAGACTCAATATTTTTGATTTAAGTAGCATTGGGTACTTTATTGGTTGCAGTCTGCAATCATCTATATGTATTTCTCTAGTTAAAGCATCTGAGGCAATACATACACGTGTTTAATATATACTTGTACCATTTTAAGTTTCATTGACAACTACCTCATGTTAAGCCACATGTAAATATTCACTGTCATTTAGGTACAAATCTGTTATGTCTTTTGTAGGCATTGTATAAACTCTGCACATTTAATGCATGCGAGTTTTGTTGTCGTCGCTGTGATCTCCTTCAGGATTAAATAAACAGTTTAGTGAAAAAATCTAATTTGCACAATTTTCCCACTTACCCCAGATGTAGTAAATCAGTCCAGACATGTTTGGTGTCCAAATTTTGCTTCTTTCGTTTAAAACTTCAGCTACAGGCCTAACGTCATTAACACACACTAGAACTAAACTATCAACAAATTCTTTTCCATAAATACATTCTCAAAACTCCTCTTATCCCACTCAAACCACATGGAGGTCTTCATTAAGGTCATGCAGACTTGTTGATGTGGTTTAGGACACAGTATGACACCACCACTGGATGCGGTTTGATTGGGTTGAGAGCAGTTTTGGGACTGTATTTATGGAAAAGATTTGAGTGACTTAACCTCTAGTGTTTGTTAGCAACGCCTTGTAGCTGCAGTGCTTGTGTAAATTAGATTTTTTGCCAAACCATTCCTTTAATATAGACTCCATCAGTGTATCTTTAGACATGTGTGTGAGGTGTGTGGAAGTCCTTCCCCTGGTGTTGTTTCTGGCCAGGCTACGGTTCATCAGCTGAGCGAAAGCAGACACTCTAGGCTAAAGATTTCTGAGTCTCTGCAGCCCATCAAACACTGCAGCTTGACAGGGCCCATGCACCCGGGGGCTCCGGCACAACAAAAGCGCTCTGTTAGCCTTATATCACTCCGTTCACCACGGCTTTGCTGTGTGATAACTCATTGCGCTCTCCTCCACTGCTATACCTCCGCTGTAGAAAAACTCCCTTTAGCAGAGTGGCTGCTGTAATTAGCCTCACTGTTCTGAGCCTTCAGTCGCCATTGTTGTGCGAGTTAAAAGTGGAGGTGGCCTTTTCAACTCTGCTGGCTGATGCACATGCACACACATCCCAAATAACTCCTTAACGTGGCACGCCAAGGCTCAATATTTAGTAACTACGGGGTCTTCAATGCAAACCAACTGTGCTATTCTTGGGCCCATGGCTTGTTAAGAGGTTTAGTTTTTTGCCCCTGATCTGGATCTTTAACTGTAATACTGAGTACCTGCGGATACCGTGGATCACTTAATTTTTTGTATAAGCAGAATACGACACACTATTAAGTGATCTGGTTTGTTTCTATTTTCTTTGACATTTTTATTTTATGAAATGTCAACAACCAAAGCAGTCTGCGCCTTCCTCTGGGCTTTCAAAGCACTGTTACCAGTGGCTGTTGGGCTGTTATCATTTTTCATTTTAAAATAAAACACTGCAGACTGCTTGTTGCTACAGAGAATGTGTGTCACTTCTGCAAGTTTTACATAATGGTAACACTTTACTGTAGGGCAGTGCACATAAGGCTGCATGACGCCTACTTAAGCTCATCATGACAACTGAAATAACATCACATAAACAAAATGATTACCTTTTATCTAACAGTGATCACATGGAAAAAGCATGGAACAGCTGAAAACTTGCTAGGAAGAGGACGCATGTGCATACCACCCCCATGTGAAGTGAGGAGGATGGCAAAGACGAACCCAAAGATCACAGTTTCAGAACTACACAGCTCAGTTGAACCTTGGGGTTTTCAAATTTCAAAATCCACTGTCAGACGCCACCTCCAGAACCAGAAGTGCTTTAGACGAGTTCTACCAATGGAGCTTTTGAACTTAGAAAAACATCATTGGAACTACAAATGATATGGTCAAATGAGACAAAAACTTTTTGATCATGTACCCCAACATCACATTTGGCGAAAACAGTATACAATATAAGGCTGACACCTACTGTAAAATATAGTGGTGGATCACTGATGCTTTGGGGCTGTTTTGTCGCTAGTGTTCCAGGGGCTCTTGTGAAAATTAGCGGCATAACGAATTACGCTAAACCTTTCAGCAAGATAATGATCTGAAGCAAAATCAAAATGGTTGCAGGAACACAAAAACCAGAGTTTTGCAGTGGCCCTCTCAGTGTCCAGATCTGAACGCAATTGTAAAGCTGTGGTGTGTATTGAAGAGGGCAGTCCACAAGCGGAGACCCATAAATTATCAAGGAAATGTTCTGCATGGAGGAGCAGTCCAAGACTTCTCAACAAGTGTTCCCCAACCTTGTTAAGCGTTATAGAAAGAGGTTATTCTCACCAGGGGTTTTGCTGCTTTGTTCCATAGTGCAGTGTAAACATAACAAATATGCAATTTACACATTTGTTTAAGCCTGAAATATCACTAACATACTGATTCTAGCTCATTTTGAAGGGTACCAATAATTCTGGTCTACATCAGTTGTCATGAAGGCCTTATGTAGGTGCCTTACACTAAGTGTTACCTGGATAATTTCTGTCGGTCACTTCTACAACAGAGGCATCAACAGAACACAGCCTTAACAAATAATCAGAGCTGGATCGGCCTCAATTTGACTGACAGCGTTCAATCAAAACAGGCCTTGTTTGGCTTGGATCAAGGACGTCTCTAGGACAGCCCGCGAGAAACATTGATACCTGCACGTTTCATAAAAGCTGGAAAAACATCCTGGGGGAGGGGAGAAGCAGGCCTGGCCGGAGGGTGGAGTGTAATAACCCTGAAAACCATAATCACTTTTTAAGTAGTGAGCGCCGTGCTGACGGATATAGCAAAGAAGGGACGGCCCCTGAAAGCGTGGCCCAGAGGTCCGTCTGGCACACATAGCTGTGGTCTCCAGCGCAAATCTCTCTGGCTCGGCCAACCAGACACACAGCGTGGACACAGTGTCTGCATGGACAAACACACTTTGCTGTATGCAACTTCGGTACAATAAGTGGAAATCAAATATAGAGGTTTGGGTTTTTTTCCATTCTTCTGTTTTTCTATCTCAAATGACAAACAAGTACTGAGTACTGTTTAAAAAAAAGAAAGGATATTATATTTATCATCATCCTAATTCTTAATTCAGCATATGGTCAGAAAAAAAGTGATATAAAAAGCATAACCGCCAATATTTCATATGTCATATCCTAGAATGCTTTCCTGCCTGGGCCTGGCCAGTGAAGGAGTGAATGGTGGTGGCGTGTTTTATTGGGCTGCACGGTTCACAGGGCTAAGCGCTTCCTGTGTGTGCCGCTGAAGGAGGCTCAGCCTCAGAGCTGCCTGCTACTGACCCCTCACATCTCCTGTCTCCGCCCCACTAATTTGTAGTTGTGTTTTTCTTTTTTCTTTTTCCTTTTTTTTTTTTGCTCTCAGCTCCACGGATGCTCCTATTTTCAGCTGAATAGCGGCACAACAGAGCAAGCATACATTACAAATCAGTCGTCAAGCCATTCGTAAAGTACCCTCGCTGAAATATAAGACAGTCTGCAGAAACCTGTTGGATGTCCCTGACTTCTGTTAAGTAGGAAAAAAAACAAAAAAAAAACAAATTACCTTTTTAATTGTGTTCTCTGTTGAAAAGCTTGATTTTAAATTTGTGTCCAAGTGTAATAAGCTTAATGTGTCTAAGGAGGAGTGGTCTGTGTGTGTGCACACCCCTCTGTCTTCGGTGCCAACCTCACTCATGTTAACATGAACAAAGCAAAGCAAAATAACTGTGGCAATTGTGTGAAAAGGATAATTTTGGTCTTAAAATCTGACTAACAGCCACATTGTAAGCTGCTGTATGTACTCAATATATGCACACCTATAAACTCCACACAACAACTGAATTCTGTATTATTGCTCCACTCACTAAAATCCACTCTGCTGTTAATAACTGTTATGCTGCTCAAACAGACCACCAAAACTTAAGACTAAACTCAGGGGATGACAAATTATTCTTAACAATTAGGTTAAAATATAGCCAGCTAAACAGGACAAAAAGATAGCTAACATGCTAAACAGCTTCATTAATATAAATATCAAACTGAGATTTTTACTGAGGCATTTGGTGTAAAATGGCAATATGAAAATTAAAGAATACATTACTTGAAGTCTCATATGCTTTAAATGTCTATGGTTAGATCCACCATAAGTAGCATTACACCTATTTGTGGGAAAACAAATGTGTAGCACCGTTAGCTTGATGCTAACACAACACAGGAAATTGCATATAGACAATAGTGGAAATTAGGATAGTCACAGCAGTATTAATTTGGTGAGCAAAATCTACTGATAATTACAATATTTTCACTAATATAAGACAAAAAAACAAAAATGTTTATGAAATGACTGCAATATACTATGAGGGGGGACTAAAAGTTACTGTCCTTTGTCAAAACTGCACCTTGTGAAGGTTTTCTGGAGGCCGCTACATGTATGAGTGGTACCTCTCCTATATGCTTCTCCGGTGAAGAACGCAAAAGCACTGGTGCTTCGATCCTGTCCTCTGGAACACCAGAGTAGGGGTTAAAATGTTGCGTCTCATCCCTCTGTGGCCACATTGTTAGTGTGGAATGCAGGATAGGGTAAAAAGGGAGCTCTCTCTCATTCTGGCTCTGCTGTTAAGGTTACGAACACGCACCACCATACAACAAGATTGTTGGCCAGCGTTACAGCTTGAAACAAGAATTGAACCATTTAAAGGCAGTTAAACTTCAGAGAGAGAATGCACAAGTGGGGGGCTGTCACTCTTGCATTTTGTTAAGGAAAAAAAAAAGCTGTGATGTATAACACAAGTAACAAACTGCTGAAGTTTCCTGAAACAAGTTTTTCCTTTTTATAACAAATTTGTCTGGGGTTTTTACTGCCACTGGCATAAGATCGTCAAGATTTTCCAATTTGCTACAGCTTCTAAAACACAAGCTAAATGTCAGAGTCACATCACTCAAGCTTGGGACAAAGCAGTCACAATTAAACTCCACTATATGTAACATATTATATCAATTAAAATACATACACAACAGAAAAACAAATCTGGGGCTGTTGATGAGCCGGGGTACAGGCTTGGGGTAAAAGGGGTTGTAATGCCTGGGAGGTTGTCAACTGCCTTTTTTACTGTGGGAAAGGACGTTTTATTACTGGTTTAATATATTTTACAGCAAGACAAAAGAGCGGCCCCAACTGTAGTGGTTTTGCATATGGGCTTTATGGAGTCCTTTGTTATGGACGGCTTAACAGATATTGCCACTAAATTGCTGCCAGCTTCTCTTCCAGCCGGCCCCAACTTCACACCAATCTCTCGCCATCTACGTCTATACTTTGTCATATCTGTAATTGTTTTCATTGCCACAGCTCTCCTGAAAATGTGGCTCTTAACATAGACTTACAAAACTAATAGAAAGTATTTATAATGCCTTATGTGCCTTAATTACTGTACAGTGTCCCTACTGCAAATACTGGAATTAAGACAGATTACAGGAGTAATGACCATTATTTTGTTTCCAATAGACAGAATGATATTGTTACCTAGGCCACCTCAGTCAAATCACCCTAGCAAATGCGACCACATTTTCATACTGTAGGGATATCATTTGGTTTCTGCGGCTTTGGCCCCACCACTCCCTACGCTGGAGCGGAGAGAAACCGGCTTGGTCTCAGTTTTATTAAAACGATTCCTTTTCTACCACGTTTCTTTCATATATTTTATGTCCCCGAGGCTAATGGCAATCAGATGGTCAATCCTACTGAGAAAATACTCAATTATAGCATGCATTTATATATCTAAAGAAAGACCAAACCTAGCGGATGGTAACGATCCACAGGCCTGGCTCCTAGGCTGGGAACAGAAGAGTTGCTGTTCAGGAAGGAAGTACCTCTGTAACCACCTAGATATTTCTTGCAGCGTTGTTTAGTATTTAGGTCAGCATTATTTAGTATTTAGTTTTTTTCAAATTTTCTGCAAAGGTCAGTTGATGAGCCGTAAACCAAATAATTCAGAGTGCTTTGATGTCAAATGCTCCATTCTAGAGAAACTTGCAGAGTTGGAATTATTCACAGTGGTGGTGAATGAAACCAGGGGTCACAATGTCTACAAGACAAATATAGCCATTTTATTTACTATTCAATATCACCAGTGAACCTACATGTGTCTTCTGTGTTTTAACATGTAATGATGATCAATGTTAAATGTTAAAGTGTTAAATCTTAAAAAGTACGTTTTCGACTAGTTTTTGCCTCTTAACACCCCGCAGGTACGCCTCTGCCACAAATGTATTTAAAAACAAATATGTTTTAGGCCACAAAAAGTTACCTCAAAACTTTCATAAAAGACATTAGGCAGCATAATTTTATCCATGCCATGTAATAACCTTCTGTGATGTAGCTTATAGAGGCATTAACTCTGCAGATGTCTGGTTCCCATCTCTACCACTGTGAACAATTCTGACTCTAAGTTTCTCCAGAATGAAGCATTTCACATCAAACCACTCCTCCTAACTCTGTTTATATCTTAACAATTTAATTTTGCAGACATTCTGAAAAAACAGTGGAATTCCCCTTTAAGGTTTCAATAGGTAAAAGGAGGTCCTAGATCTGCTTAAATCCTAACCTTACAGAAGCACAGCCCAACACCAGACAAATTGCACCCATTACTAATTTGTTGTTTGTCATTGTTTCTGAGGTCTGAATTGCGATGAGCAAAAAAACATAAAGGCCCAAACGGCAACAACATGAATGAAGTCTCTTTCCCTGTCTGATTTCCCGGAGTGACTAACAATAAAAGCCATGCAGCCAAAAGCTATAAAAATTGGAGAAAAAAAAATCCAGTCTAGAGAGGAGAGAAAAGGGGGAGCCGACTCATGAACTAGTCGTGATTGATTTATCTGGTCTGAACAGTGCCAGCAAAACAGCAGGGCTGTCTCTGTGCTCATCTTCACTTGCCTGAGTCCCATGGGCCAATCCAAGTCCAAGCTCTGACAACTGCAAACGGGTTGCAGAGCCCTCTGGCCTGAAACAAGACATCATAGCGGAGACTTTGTGGATGGTATAGGCAGCTACTTAAGCTGCTGCTGCAATAACAACTGATGAGGATTTGGGGGTTGGCAATGAGCTGCCTTTGTATGGGACCAAAGAGCCAGTGTAAGAACCCTTTAAACAACAGAGCTCTCCTAAAAGCCACCGCCAATCACCAGTGATGTCTTAACCTCTTTCTGCAAGCCCCTAGTGGCCATACTTTTTCTTTACTTGGATATTTTGAATTAATATAATAATAATAATAGTAATGTGAATTTTTTTTCCCCATAACTCTGATATCAGATAAGTAGGACACTGTTGGCTCTCAGCGGGTAAAATGATTTGGCTGTGTTGAGCCGCTAGTGAGCAATGATGAACGCGTGGGGGGGTGAGAACCCCCTGCTTTGAAAATAATTTACAAATCAAAAGAAAGATGCCCATGCTGAGGTAAAGGACACTGCAGCTTTCTTCATATCAAACAATCATGCACAATCACAATCAGGCCATGATAAAAACCCTTCATACATGCTGACTTGATTGCTCAAGAAGATGAAAATCATACAGCTTACCATTGAGATATATTACACCCACGTTATTGAAGAAAATCATATTATAGTGCAAAAACTGAGGGACTGCCAAAACAGGTGGAAACTGGCTACTGGGAAAAAGGGTTAATCTGTCTTCCACTGTTTTCCATTATTCTTTTTATTGTGCATTTTTTCAGCAGACAAAATGTGTCATATACAAGCAGGTCAAATACAACAGAACAGTCAACAGTAGTAAATGGCTATGAAAAGACTGACCTGATACCAGCCACTGGCCACTGGGGGAGACACTGATAGAGCGCACAAGACTGGTGTGGCCATGGTACACCTGAAAAGGGAACAGGATTGCTGTCATGTATAACACAAGTAAAAAACTGCTGGAGATTCCTCAAACAAGTTTTTCCTTTTCATAAAGCTCTTTTTCTGGTTTTTTTTACTGCCACTGGCATAGCATCTTCTAGACATTTTCCAATTCATCCTTCAGCTATGGCTTCTTAAATGTCAAGGAAGACAGACTGTACCATGGTCACCAAAGACTGGGAAAAAACTCAGAGTTAAACTCTACTACACAGAGCTGAATCTGGACAAAGTCAAAAGCTCAACATTTTTAAACCACTTTAAACCACCAACCAGACCAAGGTACTTCTTTTCAGTTCTAGCAAGCTTCTGCATGTTTTAGAATCTTCAAATCTACATAAAATGTGAATAATTTATCGTATTTAGAAAACAATTTCTAGTAGTTACTAAATAACTTATAGCAGTGAGGATAATTTATAGCATATAGGATTGATTTACAGTAGTTACTCTGTCATTTATAGTATTTCTGGAACATCTGATTGTAGGTATGGAATCATTTATAGCTATTACTGAATAATTCAATGTATTTACTAAATTATTCATAGTATTTACTTAATAAAGTATGGTACTTACCGAATAAGCCTTGAGATTAATAACTAAAAATTAGTCTGTAGTTTAATCGATTAAGAAGATTAAACTCTTAAGAGTCTGTCACCTTCCAGTGACATGTGCAGTAGATTTTTTTTAAAGACTTTAGAAAGGCTGGTGCAAAGACGAAAAACACATTCGCAGCCATACATGAGATTATTTGAGCAAAAATGAAGCAGCTTTTCAGGGTGTGAGTCTATTACATCCCATTAATCCATTGCCACCCAGACATTTGGTGCCCCTCTACTTCTAGTCCAAAACAACGACAGACTAACGTTTGGTTTAAATGTCACCGCTTTTACAGGCACGGCTGTCTGAAAAATGTCAGAAAGTTTTGAAAAACAGAAATAATTCTCTTTTGATCTTTCTCTCCCTTCTAAGCAGTGCCACCCAAATACATTAATGTGGGTTTTTCCATTTCTGTATCCACTAAAATCTGAGCTTGCCATACTCAGACCTCCTTCAGAGGCTGCATTCAAACAGTGGCCTGCTCTGATCCAAGAGCTGTTTTTGTGAACCTAATAATCACAAGCAGGTGAAGAATCTGACTGTGGATCAGCACACTGAGGTGCCTTATGAATGCAGGCCCTGAACTGATGTTCACCTACCAGAGACTGAGTGGTGGGGAAGGGCTGCAGGTCTTTAGGTTTGGGCAGCTTAGGGATCAGGTCCTCTGGGTTCACATTCACCTGAGAGAGGGAGGAGGTGAGGAGAGAACGCTGTCAGACAACACAGACAATTCTTCGCAGTAGCGGTGTAACAATGCACAAAATTCACAATTTGATTCAATACAATACAGTGGTATTTTTTAATACAGCAAAAACAAAGCATGGTTGAAAACTGACTTATGCTAATACCTTAATGTTTCAATTTTCAGTTTATTACAGCATTCAACAGCAAAAAAGTACACTATTTTAAACTAAATCAGTGGTTTATAGTGTCCAGATCCAATGCTCCAGCCACAATATAATATGCTAGCCCCAAGCTAACATACTACCACAAGCTACCATGCTGTGACATATGATAATGATAATAATACTATAGTACAATATGATACAATATGCTGTGATGCAATTCGATATATCCCTTTTAAACAATGATGCTCAGTTCACTGTAGCACAAAGTGGAGTAAACATACTGACGTATTACTAAATATTACAAAATATTTTCATATTTTGAAAATGGATAGAATTATTTGCTTAACGTCTGTCTTTCACAGAATTTCTTGTCTTTTTTGTTATGAGAGGGATGCGTACTAGATGACGTGATGAGTTTTAGCTCTGAAAAAAAGCTCAAAAGATCAAATCTAGCTTTAAAATCTCCATTTGGGAGAAAACACATGTCTCTGTGGCCTGTTTAACTGCAAAGTTTAGTTTTCTTGAGAATTTGGGGCAAACAATGTTTGTTATGATGTAATAATGAGAAAACAAACTCATAATGAGAAAAAGGAATAAATGAAATAAATGAATCTTAGACCACTGAAGACTTCCATACTTTTCACAGCTAATTGCTACAAATGATAGAGCATAATTTAACATGGATTTAAAAACATCTTTAGATCTTAGGATTTAGTATTCCCCAAAACACTATTCCTATGCACATATGGCTACTGAGAGTTAGGCGTTGATCCTCACACTTAATTTCTTGAATGTTACACTCTGATGTCTCAGTAAAAGTTACTTTATGTTTAGAAAGCAAAACTTGAAAACTGCTTAATTCGTGTTTTATTTGAGGGCATTTCTGAAACAACTGAAGAAGTGTATGTTAACAACTTCACCAGCTGGAAGGAATAGCTGTATGATGAGGAATTTGCTGCCCAAGTAACCCACCCTCATTTTGCGCTGTCGGGGGCACAGGTACAGGTCAAGGCAGCGCTCAAACCTCTCATGGATGAAGCGCGAGAAGGCTGGCACTGCACGCAAGCAAGAATACTTCTGGGGCAGGAAGCTCAATCTCCGATCTTCAGGGTCTTGCTGCTCCCATGCCAGTCTCTGAGAAGGGATAGAACATCCAGATAATATTCAGCAAACATTCTTATTTGGATTACACAACATTCTGCCTAAATGAAAGGTAGTGACGCTAAGCGAATTACCCTAAAATCCAGTATACAGAATTTTTCTCCCTCTAAACAAACGAAACGATTAATGAAGGACAGCTTTATGAGAAAAGGCTACAGTGAGAGTCTGCAGGCTGGCTAGATTAGGTCAAAGTTGAGCTGAATAAAAAGAACAACTTCTGGTGAGGATGCACCTGTTCTAAGTGCTTACGCTTTGCATGCAAACTACAAGCAAATTCCCTCTACGCAAATTCTGGAAGCCACATAGAGATGGATCAGAAAGCCATGTGCAAAATGCCTGCACTGAATACTGAATACAGTAAAAATTTTAAAACCAAAAAGAAAAGGTAAGACCTCTTCCTCAGTGAGCAGGTACTCTGGAGGAGGATTGTAGGACTCCTCGTGACCTGGCAGTCTCATCTTGGGGGCAGGGATGTGCATTTTGTGGCGCCCCAGAATGGTGTTGGGGTCCTCCTGTGCCCACAGGTCGTAGTACTGGGGTGCTGTCTCCTTGGGTCTGTGTGGCTTGATCCAGCCCATCTTTATGGCATGAACCAACTTCCCAACCTGGCGTCAGAACAAGAAAAAAAGTGCTGACGGTCCTGCAGAAGCTCTAGATCACAATTTGGGGCCCATTATGCACAGTCCACAGAGTGACACAAATTACCCATGACCAAAACAGCAGTACCAATTTCAGCCAAATTGACTGATACACAATTATATATATTCTTAGTATGAGTGTCTAAACCACTGCACTTAAAGGTGGGGGGACTCTTGTATAAACTATTTTTACTGAAAAATTTGTGAGTCTAATTTCTTTCAGCTTCCAATTTCAGAAGCCCATTACGGCAGAGTTTCAGAGCCCGTTCCACACAGACTGTGTGGGAATCATTACGGCTAATGCCCCACAGATGCGAGCAGTTAAGAGTCCAACCGGTTGAAACACGACTCTACTGATCTAACCTCAGCTGTATTAAATGCAGTAAATAGAAATATTGATTTACTTCTTAAGCTGGGAGATGAGACAGAGAGGCATTAAAGAAAAGTGAGGACAGGGTCTTGCCTTCTCCTTCTCAATCAGAGAGGGAATGAAGCTGCGTTTGTCCTCAGGCCTGTTGGTCACCGGGTGGATCATCACTTCACTGGAGAAGAAGTCAATTGAAGGCTAAAAGAAATGGAAACAAAACACTGAGAAATCAAATAATGATGGTAATAATACTACTACTAATAATAATGTTTAAGAAGAAACCAAACACTGAGGTGTGCTACATGTAACTTGCACCCGTTGTAGATACAGATGTAATGGCGCTGGAGACACAGTGGATCAGATTCATAAAATGCACCGCCAGATTTACTGTGACATTAAGAGCAAATAGCATTTACACATCGATTCTGATTGGCTCTTGTCTAGGACACTGGTCAAAATACCAGAGTGTTACAAAGACACCAGTGCGCTAATCACAGCCACAGTGATTTTATGAACAGTTTACCGTGCCGCACATCTTGGGTGGCACAGCCCTGTTACCACCGAGTTTTATAAACCTGGCCCATTGTTACAGCTGTGACTGTTGTGCTCAATGCTGAACACTCTCATAGAATTAGGAGCAGACGCAAGTTAAAACATAAATGAGAACATCTGGGCTATCAAGATCTCCAGACACAACACACACACAAAGATTTAGTGTCACACCACACCCCAGATGACAGGTGGCTTTTTCAGACACTCCACATCATCGTCTTTAAAGTGTGTCTGAGGTTGCTTTTCGCCATACTGATCACACGCAACCTCAAGTGTGAAGTGACTCATACCCTGTTTTCTCTAGAGCAGAAGCTAACAGACAATTAGCACAAATGCTAATAAAGAAGGCATTCGTAGCCCGCTAATGGCCATGACAGCATTTTGACATTATTACATGTGCAGTCCACCTACTGGGGACAGACATGGTTGCATAGTTTCCCCCCTAAATGAGAATAATTGCCAGAGTGTTAACATATTGTGCCCTTAGCTCACTGCTAGAGGTGAGTGCAGGCCAGAGTTTTGGTTGTGAGCTGTGGAAACAGAAGGGGTAATTCAGGGAGATTTGTTTTTCTCCTGCTGTGTACTGTTATCATCAAGTGAGGCTCGTTGTGGTGGAAAAAACCTTCAAATTGCAGATGCTGAGATTATAAAATGTGGGTTCAGGGATGTGGGAAGGTGTTTTAAGTTAAGAGTGTTGAAATTTCAAACAGTGTACATGTCGTGTGAACGATGAAGGCCTTTTTTCCATGTGATTTTTTTTTTGCTAATTTGTATTAAACAGAATGTGCCATAATAAAATGCTATGAGGGAAGAGACAACAATACATACATATAACTTACACATCAAACCACTGATTTTCACTCTGCTCTCTCGTTCTGGGCAAACTTTGTGCAGATAAACTGAGAGGCGACTAACCAGATTGCTGATATGTGGCGCAGTAACCAATTCACGCCCACAGTGAGCGCATTTATATGCACTCAATAATCCGATCATAATCGGATTTCTGCAGTTATCTGATTATTTAAATGGTCATTTAAACGGCATACCCCGATTTCTTAGGCCTAGAAATCTGATTAAGAAATCCAATAGAGAGAGCTGGATTTTAGCTTAATAATCAGATTTCTCATTGCATGTATATTCTTGTCCGGATTTCTTTCGCAGTCTGAACATGTGTGAAAGCAGGCCGTGGTACCGTAAATAGGAAAGCAGCGTTGCTGCAAGATGGCAGCAAAACACTTTTGAAGCAACGATGAAACTAACTACATGCTTGACAAAGTGAAGGACTTAAATATCATTCCTCTTGTAGATGTATGTTCATATTTTCAGGAAAAGTGGCGCGATGTTTTTTTAAAAAAAAGCTGCAGCATGAAGTTTGAGTTTTACATGTTTACATCACGTCTTCTGTGAGTTTATTGGCTGGCTGCAATCAGAAATCCGAGTACTGTCTGACTCATGTAGACCTGGAGTTTCCCATTATCTGATTACTCAAGTGCATGTAAATACGTTGACTGGATAACTGAGTTATCGGATTATTAAGCGCATGCAAACGATGAAACTGTTTTAACTACAAGCAATGGTTAAAACAGTTGTTAAAAATATCGTTATGTCAGATGATTTTTTTAATGTTTAAAAACAACAATAGGCTGCTTTGGAGCTTAGAATTGACCAACAGCTTGGCATAAACTTTCCATTTTTCCACCTCAACGTGTCTTGTCGCGACACGCCCCCAAAGCGAGCAATGTTTGGAAAATTTGGCTTACTTTAATGTAAATGTAGAGTTAGCTTAAACAGCGCATGGCTACTGCAGGTATTAAAAATTTATAAATAGAATACAAAAATACCAACTCTAAAACAAGCACTTTCCAATTCTGAAATCTGGTGGTGCTGCAGCAGCACCCTCAGCACCCCACTTCCCATATCCCTACAAAGGTTGGTTACCTCATACTCATTAAAGTTGACGTCACCGAATTTGCCCTGCTGCAGACGGTGAACCAGATCCACCTGCTCGTCGGACAGACGGACGTCCGTGCCAGTCATTTTGTCGTGGACAGTGCGCCTAGCAGCAAAAGAGAAAAACAAAAATAAAAAATGATGTATTTGGGTAAAAAACAGCATAACAAATGAAGGCTTTGCTCTTTTTGTCTGGGTTGCAGTCTCTTCTCACCAGTAATCAGGATTCTCCATCTTGTCCAGGAATTCGTCTAGTTCATCCTTACTCCTGATTGGCTTGAAGATTTTCTTGCCGTCCAGGTCATAGCCAATGTGGGGATAATCTTTGTACCATTCCATTGGAATGTTGCCCACCGTGTTGCGAATGTCCTGTGAGCACATAGCCAGACAAGAGGAGGGGGAGAGAGAGTGCAAGAGAAAGTGAGCATGAGGGAGAAGAGCAATTAAACTTACAGGTTGGAGCGAATAGCCCAGTTCAACATCCATTATTTCAATCTGTCCTAAACGCCATAGAAAAAAAGGGCAGGACATACAATCAACCTCCATTACAGTCTTTTCAGAGTTACAGATGAGGTCCCTGCAGTTTTATTTAGCTTCCCCCTCTGAGGTGAGCAAATGCGGCTGAAACCACTTAGGTCCTCGTCACTCCTTTTCCTTTCTTCATTAATACCCACACCTACATTCTGCCTTCAGAGAGGAACAGTAACGTTTGGGGACCTTACTTTCTCTTGAAATTTTCCAAGTGACATTTCTTTTTCTTATTAATCTGACAGGAAAAAATACTTTCAACCAGCTATTTATTAATATTTTAAAGGAGCTGCATGATGTAATTTTACTAGCTGACTAGTAATTCAAGAAAGTAGTCGATTAGCCGTCTTTTATCATACAGAGAACGAAAAAAAACAAGCGTTCTGGATATTTGTTAAAAGAATTTTGTCAGTAGGTTGTTACTAGGAGTTACTGTCAGATTTTGAGATAGACAGCAGAGGTTTTGTTGTTTGTTTTGCTAGTCTCAGCCATGGATGCTCTGCCTATAATGATCTGTGGTGCCAAAGCCTCCTCTGGTTATAACCAGCGGTCTGGATTGAAAGACTAGTATTTTGAGATAAAGTCCAGTTCAACTCAACTGAAGCGGAAAACAATGGACTGAATCCTGCATGTTACTTCTGATGTGCTGTTTGCTGTGTGTGGCTGGTATAAAAGTCAATGCTATAGCCTACATACTTATACTAACACCGCATAACAGTTGCTATGTAAACAACTATAATAAACTATGTAAACAAAGGCTGAGTTAACATATTCTCATGAAATGTAATGCTTTATACATCAAAATAAAACACAAAAACTAACATTATAAAGAGGAATTACATATTTTAATGCTTTGCAGTGCTTACAGATAAAAATCACATGTGTATCACAAGTGTATCTGCTTCACCAAGTGCACTTTTTTGGCACAGTTCAGTGTGCGCACCATGCAATTTCATGTTCATGCAGTTGTTCTCTGTTGTAATGCACTGTCAGTTGTAATGGAAATGCAACAGGATTTAATTAAAAATATCATCAATAATAAAAGCTATGTACCTTTTTCAACAATCATCCTGCTAACCCTCCAGAGTATCACACAATGTCAAAAAGAACTGAATTTGCACCAATGAGCATTATTCCCAAGATAGTACAGTATAATACATGTGCGACATTGTTTTGCTTAAAATAAGCCTGGTTAGTCTTAAACGTGTCAAAAACCCTACTAATTTGTACTGAAATTGTTTTTGAAAACATTTTGGCGTGCAATGTACCCCCTCCCCTGCCCTCCCTCCCCTTCATAAGCTCCTTATTCCACACAGTCACTTACAGTATGCCACAATAACATTATTCAGCCAGAGCAGCTAATAAACCAAACAGAGAGATCTCTTTGTCTGAGAAATAAGGTAGAGGCGCTCACACACACAACACACACACTTATAGACGAGAACACAGACACTCTTTACACCAGACAGCTGAAAGTTCTCAGAGGTCGCAAGCAGCACTTTTAAGTAAGGCCTGCACCTGTGAGTTATTTCAATAAAAACACCCCTACCATATCCAATTAGGAGGGAGTGGGCAGCCGTGTCACGCTTTCTCCCACAGCCGCGAGCAGCTGGAGAACCCGCCCACCCCTACTCGTCTTCAAAGCTGTGTAATACCTCTTGCCTGATTGGCTGATTGCAAACGAAGGCCGATGCGATTGGCTGCAGGCCGGTCTAAATAGCTTCTCACTGGTCAAAGCAGACAGTGGTTTATTAAAGAAAAGAAGAACTCCTCCCACCTTCATTCCATAGTATTATTAGACATGAACTAATGTCTAGTATGGCACTGTGGATTAAGAGGTTTCACAGTCTTGATTTTTGAAGTGGTTGTATTGTCTGGCAGGGCTGGTACCTTTGCCAACAAGAAGTCAATGTTGCCAAGTCAGCAAAGAATGGAAAAAACACACACAAACACGGGGGGAAAATAACACTCACTAATTTGATACTTCCTATGAGGAATAAAGCCTAGTCGCTTGACCTTCAAAAGACTTTCGGAAGCCCCCCATTTATACTGTGTAGCATGAGTGGTTCTTGCCAGCAGCGAAAGCTTCACACGAGATGCTCACAGAACACTCATTAGCTGTCTGTGCCAGAAGTCCAAATATAGGAGCTGAATTTACTAGTTATTTAGGAGTAGACGAATTGTTATAAACAGAAAACATAAAAACTAACAACAAAACAAATACAAAAACAGTGTTCTAGATATCAGTGAAAAGGTTTTTCTCAGTACGTTATTATTATGAACTAGTGGCAGATTTTGAGGCGGACAGCAGAGGTTTGGTTTGGTCGTTTGTTTTGCAAGTCTCAGCCGTGGATGCTCTTCTCATCATAATGGTCTGCTTTCGCCCAGTATGCATGTCAGTCAAACAGCCCATTCCTGTTACAGCAGGCAGGAGACACTGAATTCACTGAATACTCATTAGCTGTAATACAGAAGGTCTTAGCAGGTCCAAATTTAAGAGTACTGACACCTACACTGGGTGAATCACACAAGACTAATAGTGCTTTATATGCATGCAGTTGCCCCACCTCGGGGACAAAAGATTTATCGAACACAATGTATACTCAAGTAAATAAAATATGGGTGTTTTGCCTTCAGTCCTGTTTTCAGGCAAGAATTTTCATTCGTTTTTGGCTGAAAAAACTACTGGTGCTTTAGCATTTCACCCTGGTGTAAAGTCATCCAGTGCTGTGAGGCATTTGGTTGGATCTGATTAGTTAAGTTGCTTTTGTAAACTTTAATTGGCAGTCTTATCATCAATAACTAATAAGTTCGTTTTACTGGCAATCATACACGCCAACACGATGAGGTTAGGATCACGATCAGTTACTTATCAGGGTTATGACAGCAAATGTAAACCATTATTTCAAACTTTATTAAAAGTAATGCAAAAGGTAAATTAAAACTATGTCCACTGCAACAAGAACAGAAACTAAACAGCATCTTGGAGAAAAAAATGTATGTTTGTCGTATTTATAATCTAGGAGGTCAGTCTAGAAGCAGATTTCTTCCATGGCAAACTTACATACCCAGGAGGTGCCGATGTCTCAGAGTAATGAGACGGCAATGTCTTTGGTGATGAGCAAGTTAGGTGCCCTGAAATAAGACGACTATGTATAAAGAGTTCACGGTTCACCCCCCTCTTAAAGATAAAACTGGCAGTACGCACTTTAACATGATCATCACTTCATTTGCGATTTAATGTGCAACAAAACAGACCCAAAGTAACTGTCACTGTCCAAATGGCAATAAAACGCATTGTATTTCACATTCTTAACTTGATTAACAATGAATGAAAAGTAATGCAGCCAGGAATCATGATGTCATGCTAACTAGCAGATCTAGCTTTCGTTTATTATTAGTCACATTAGCATTCATTCACTGAGCTATCCCTTTGAATAACCTTTTATCAAATGTCTTCTCAAGAGCTGATGCCAGATACGGACACGTGATGCAGTGGGATGCAATAGCGAAGCTACAGATGTCGGAGCTATGGGTCTGTGAGGCCTTTTTCAACTCCAGCTGGACAGTCTGCAAGGACACAGTAGAGGGACGCAGCAGTCCACCTCAACCCTGGGGAAACATCCAGCTCAGCTGCTTTCAATTCACCAGGCAAACGGAGCTTTTATGAAGTGTCAGCCAGGTATGAGCCATATGCGCAGAGTGGGGGAGAGTTAAGGTGGAGGAAGTCATTGGTTTGGACAGAGAAGTCTCACACAGTCTGTTCTTTAATGCTCACACTCTTATCAGCTCATTCTGAAGAGAAAGTGCAGGGCACAAAATGAACTGAGCAGTGAGAGAGACCGTGAGAGTCTGTGAGTGTTTAAGAAAGGTTCAATACACTGATGACACAATGTCAATAGATACAACTCATGTCAGATTAAACCACTGATCAATTCCCATTAGAACAACTCCCACTGAGGAAAGCTGCCCTTATTCATGATATATTCTTAAGGTGATTTAAGGTCTACTTTGCCTATAAATGGCCATAGGACTCCAAGCAATCCAAATCATTCCTGAAAAGCACTATGGGTCTGTAATAAAAGAAAAAGATGGGCTTCACCTTATTGTCCCATGACCCAAAAAGAAAAAATAGACAAAACATAAAGAATGGAAGAAATTACATCAGTATTCTTCCTTGAAATGTGTATTTGGATCAGGTTGTCGAAATTAGTTTAACCTCAGCACTAAGTGGCTTAATTATTATATGTTCGCACTCAAAATCTGGTACATTACCTGCATACCTTTACAGGTGATGTGCAGGATTTGCATCACTCAAACCTTGAATGTATGTGTTCATGTTTGCAATACAAGTCCTGGTAAATAGCATATAATATTCCAGTACGCTCAGAAAAAAAAGATACTAAATTATCACTGGGGTGGTACCCTAAGGAGTACATCTTCAGTACCTTTAGTCAGGGAACACTATTGTCCTGATTTCACTGCAATGATTTTTTTCTAAGATGACTCCATACACCCTGTCTCATCTCCAGCCTTTCTCTTTTGCTGTTGTTTTAAAACATTAGGTTATGAAAAGGTACAAATATGTACTTTGCCCTGAGAAAAACTTATTTAAGGTACACAACTGGACCATAAAACCGTTGATGTACCTCTGAAGGTACATTTACATTGTTTATACAATGATGAATCAAAAATGTACCTGCACAGTACCTGTCAGTTTTTTCTGACAGCGCATGAAAGGCCAATAGCACCTTTATTTCTAAATAAATCATGTACAAAATACACCCCTGCAATGCTTTTGTTGTGTGAAAACTGTCACATACGCTACATTTTTGCAGCGT